CTGACCTTCAGACACCCGATTCGATTCGTTAGAGTTTACATGGAGGTTTCTATTGGGCTTGAAAATCGCCAACCAACCTCTTCAAACGGATCGAATCGGACTCAGTTCGATGCGCTTGGCTGGCGAATCGAGACGTTTACATGGGACAATTCGATACGCTAACCCGATTCGGTGCGCCCCTGTCGTATCCATGTAAACGCAGCCAAAGTGTGACGAGTTGATTGGGACCGCATTGCAGATGAAAATTACTTGTCGCGCTCGTGTTTCAACACAGAATGTGCTTATGGGCTGGAGTTCATGGGGAAAGCATGACGCTCGAGTGTAATGAAGAGCCGTTACACGCATTCCAAGGCAACATAGAGTATACATGGTCCATAGCAGTCAATGTATGCTCTATGATATATATATAGCAGCGTGCTTCGTCATAATTAACCGTACTTATTCATAATTAGGGAGACCTTACCAAGCGGTGCAGCGGCAATCGGACCCCGGAAGCGCTGAACACCGAAATGCCGTATCGTTATTACGCTGTCATTGCAACCACACCATTGGTATTGATTTCCCTCGTTCTCTTCCCACTTTCTCATAGACAAAAAAAAATATTTTTCCATATATGTGTGTGTGTGTGTGTAGCATACGTACGTTTCCCCTTACAGGTGCCCTGAGGAGGTTTCTGAGGTCGCCTATATATGGCGGCAACTCAAACTGCTGGCACTAATCATCCTAGAAATCCCTCAATCATGACGATGCTCAGCCGATTTCCCAATTAAAAAAAGCAATCCAAGATCGGAACCCAGCGAGGTTATCTCCGGCGATGGGAGGAGCATGTTCCGGAACCAGGACCACTGTCAGCCAATAGCAAGCGAAGGATCCTCGCGCCTCCGACCGGTAGAACCGCGGAGTGATACCTCGAAACGACTCAGCCCAGCGAGCGCATCACTCCCACAGAAAATCCCCCCCCCCTCCCCCGCCCCCCCCCCCCCCCCAAAAAAAAAAAGAAACATAGGGCGCTGTTTTTTTTTTTATTTTCCCTCTGCGCTATAAGTTAAAAGATTTCCGACTACTCTTACTTTGCTTCTGTCATCTCTAAAATCATACAATGTTTGTAATAAGAGCGTTTGATATCTCAACGAAATGTCGTATTTTCATTGGTCACATGTTGTCCTGACTGCCGGAACAATGCTCCTCCCATCGCCGGAGATGAGCTCGGTGTGTTCGATCTTTGATTGCTGTTTAATTAGGAAAATGGGCCGCGCATCGTTATGATTCATGGATTTCTGGGATGCTTAGAGCCCGCAAAGTGAGTTACCTGCTCCTTTGCGGGCATCTATCGACATTACCGTGATCTGTAATAATAGTACAATTAACATGTTGTAATACCTAGTTTTTCCATTTCTAATATAATTTGTTGCTTATAATCTTATTTCAAACGCGAACAGCTATGGCAATCCGAAGTTGGCAATTTATCCTGGTGCCAATATCAACATGTTTAATTACCAAGTTATAAAGTTTATTTTATTCAACCAGGAGTTAGTGTAAGGTTATATTTGTTCAGCAAAATTGTATTTCTGTTCTTACAAATGTCTGTGTAATTTTGTGCATGCTTATATTTTAAAAGGTGTTGCTGTGAACACGGAATGACAGTGCACCACACAAAAGGCATTACAGCTGTTTGTGGGCGCTCAAGAAAAATAAAACATTATTATTATTATTATTATTATTATTATTATTATTATTATTATTATTATTATTATTATTATTATTATTATTATTATTATTATTAAAGTAAATTCTAAGATCAATTAAAACATTTTAACTAGTATAACAAATAAATATAAACTGAAATTAATTGTTGGTAAAGCATTGTCAAATCGTGGGTAAAGATTGTCGAAGTCGCAACATTTAACAACCAGCAAAAGTTCCAAATTTGCCGCCAATCTTTCCAGACCAAATGTTCCAACGAACTAAAAATGGATTCCATTTCCTTTTACCTTTTTTTTTTTTTAATTACATAATTTTTTACAACTTTTTTTTTTTCTGTAATTTTTACGCCCCATCGTTTTGCTAATTTGAGCCTTTCCAGTTCGAAGGAACGCCTCGGGGCCTCTTCTGCGTCTGTTCAGTGCTGCCCGTTTCGCTGACGTTGGAAAACTTGTGAAACAGTGAAGGCCCATACGCCCATTCGCGTTCGAACGCGATGCGTTCCGTAGTGGCAAGCAGACGCGTAGCGTTGCGGAGAGCGCTTGCGCCTACCGTTGCGATGCGTTGCGCGACGGCGCGCGTCGTACCGCAAGCAACCACTTCTGGTCGCAAGGACGTACGCACTAAACGCGTTCAAACGCGAATATGCTTATGGGCCTTAAAATGACACTGACAGGGTATTTATGCTCTCCAAGGTTTTCACTTGTACATGATATATATATATATGAGAGCCCATGCTACCCAAAACAGAATTTGCGGCTCGAAATTCGTTTTCTTTTAGCCCGAAAACCGCCGATCGAGAACTGGCCGGTTCGAATCGCGCTCACTCTCTTCTTTGTGGTCACGTGCCGTTCTCTATGGTCTAGACGCACACACTAAATATAATCAGTGTCGTGGGTCATCGAAGGCTCACGCTCAATATTAAATATAGCAAAAAAAAATATGATACTCATTTTTTGTGGTTTCTAAAAACCTGAAAATACGTTGATTGAAAAAAATACATAAAAGTTGCACAGAGAACCGGGAGCACTTTGCATTCTCTGCGTAGTTCTCAAAATATCGTCGTATCGCGGGAGTCGTGCGTGGGCTGGACGGCTGAACGAAGCGGACTAATGTCAGAGTCCCACTAGAGCGACAAACAGAAGCAAACACCGGCGACAAGCTTCAAACCAGAGTCTTTCGCGATTTGAGAGGCTTTGTAGAATAATGGAGGCTATGCTCAAACGCGAGCATCATGCACGCGACGGTATCTTTGACAGGCTTGCAATCACTCGTGCTTACTTCACGAGCACCGACCGATTAAACGCCTGCCAAAGGTACCATCGCGAGCATGCTGCATGTGTTTGAGGCTTGTCGCCGTCGTTTGTTTCTGTTTGTCGCTCTAGTGGGACTCGGGCATAAGCGATGGCGGCGGACGACGGGCGTGAGACTATGCTTCAGAACTGTTGCTCACGGTACTAGCGAATCTGTCTAGTTTCGAAAGAAAAATCTTTTACCGATCAAGACAATTAGGATTTACTCCGTACGACACGCCCGTCCGCCAAGCTGATTCGCACGAAGACGACGCCGAGTCGTCGCCCCTTCTCCTGGCTGAAGACATCGCTCGTCTTACTAACACAAGTTGATAAGAGCCTAAAAAACGCGCAAACGTGAAAAAACGTAGTGCTTGACTCTTGCCTTTTTCGCCACGTTCGCGTTTTTCGTCTGCTTCACACAACCAAAAAAAAAAAAAAAAACGAAGAAAAAAAACAAAAAAAAAAAACGCAGTCGGGCGTAGGCACGTGACTTCCGGCAACTCTCGTCCTCTACATTTCTTCTTCCTTCCCAGCTCACTTGCGGTTGCAGTCAGTCGCGTTTCTTGACTTCATTAAAAATATACGTGACGCTGTAGCGAAAGATTGATTGAGTAGTCTTCTGGCCCCATATCAAATCGCCTGGCAAAAAATGAAGCAATTTTCTTGGGGGGTGTGGGTGTCCCTTTAATGTGGAATCCCATACCGGCTCCAGCGCTACATTGGGCAGAGGAGAGTGTTGTTTGCATTCGGAAATGACTGCCGTGTCCGCTGAGCAGGAGAACCGGGAGACCCATAGAGCGCTTCCCGTTTCCGCCGCGAGGGGGCGAGCAACGAGTTGAAGACGCGAATACTGAAGACGCGTCAGCGCGTCCAAACTTCCGCTTGGAGTGTTACCAGAGACAGCGGCCTCCGTTTCCTACGCGCGCAGCGGACAAAGCCAGATCCACGCGCCGTCCCTTTCTTTCGGTCGCACGTTCCGCTCGACTTCCGACTGGAGGAGACGGGAGAGACAAATCACGAGCATCGCCCTGCTGGGCGAGCTTTCCGGCGGAGCGCGGCTGCACGCACGCGAGCCTCGCCGCGCACCGCCGGCCGATCTCTCTCGGCGGCGCTTTAATTAATAATAAGGGAAACGCGGCTGTAACGCAATTACGGAGGGAGGACGGAGCCGAGAAACCGCCGCCACACGATCGATTTACGAAGGGGGAGGTGAGGAGGCGGCTGCCGGGAGGATCGGGCCTGCTGGCGATCGGAGTGTGTATACACACCTCGGGATTGGAGGGCCGCGCCGCGAAGCCGCAAATCAGCCTCGGCGTGTCCTTCTAGATCGGAGACTGTGCATGGCCCGTATACTAGAGGAGCCTTGCTGACTGCGAGTAGGCCAAAGGCTCAAGAACGAACCAATCAGCGGGAACCTTGCATGCTTTCAATAGCGGGGCTTAGAGGGCCTTGGGAGCGCCAATCCACGTGCTGCAGCAATTCCTGTCAGAGTAGGAGAGCTAGTCTCTGCCGTCGGTGCTGGCAACCTGGCGACCGACCAAGCCCAGAGTCGTCCTTTAGCCAGACCTCTCATCTGCGCTGGAAGACTAATCCTGAAGCCTCGTATATCCCGGCACAGATCACGTTTTCCAACGATATTCGCACACACACACTCTTCGGTCAACCAAGGGTCTGGGTGGTGTGTATTTGCTGCGTGAATGCGTGCCGCATGGTCCTCCCGCCCGTTGAGCACCTTGGGGGGAGGGGGGGGGGGGGAGGGGAGGGGCGGGACGGGACGGGACGGGACGGGACGGGACGACCCCCAAACCGCCCCTCGAGATGCGAGTGTGTCTTGTACATGAGCAAACTATACAATTCAGTGCACCCACCACCTTAACGGACTCGGTCACTTTTGGGCGGTGGACTCGCAAAACACACATGCGCGTGACCGCGTCGCGACTCGCAAGTCTATCGCTCTCCGGCGTTTCGAGCGCTGCAATGCACACCTCCCCCTCCCTCTTTCAGGAAGCGATGTAAGAGGCCGCCCCGGGACCCCAACCAGCGAGCCGACCATGATGTCCTCTGGCGCGCGGCGCGGCTTCTCCGTGTGCCGGGAGCCCCGACTCAACTCCCTCTGCTGCGTATGGTACTGCACGGCGGCGCTGGCCCTGAGCATCTACATTGTGGCCGGCAGCGTGCAGCGGTTCACGCGCTACATGGCGCTTCCGTGGCCGCCCCGAGACCAGCCCTACCTGGAGCTGAACGCCTACGTGGGCTGCATCGGAGCCGCCGTGGTGCTGCTGCCCTTCTTCGTGGCCTCGGCGATGCTGCAGGTGGGCAACCTGGCCAACGACGGCGGGAGACTGCTGTGGCCGCTGGGCGTGCACGGCGGACCCGACGCCGTCTACGAGAACCTGCCGGACCGGCGTCGGCAGCGCAGTCGCTGGCGCTCCTGGCTCAAGGCCCTCTGGAGGCACGGAGGTCCCACGGCGCCCACGCTGCACGTCTGGTCCGCCTTCTGCCTGCTCCTGCCTCGCATGCTCGTCCAGGGCAGGCTCATCCGGCACGGCTTCCTGCGGAAAAGTGAGTGCCACCGCGAGGCGCGAACACGGGCGTGGCACGTATAGAGCCTCGGTCCGAGGTTCCAGACTAGCATTAGTAAGTTTAGAAGGGGAGCACGTTGGTGCAATTACACGCTACTCAGGGAATAAACACAGGGACAGGAACGACGGCACATCGACACAGGGACGCACACGAAAGGTGTGTCGTCGTGTCCGTCCCTGTGTTTATTTTCTCAGTAACGTGTAGCTTTATTATTTTACAAATGGTTTCTTTAGAGTTTTGCACATGTCCAAGAATAGTTGACTTTCTTTTTCTTGTTTACGTTTAACTTATTTCATGCGCGAGGACGCTACATTACTGAAAAAAAAAATCGTTTTATTTTAAAGATTTGATTTCGTTTTATTTCGAGGAGTTGTTGTTTAGGTCGTAGATATGATTGTTCTTGGTGGTATTACGGTTGTTCTAACGCACACTTTATGCCACATTAAAGCTCATTGGAGCCTCCTGTGAGTAGACAAAGAAATAGTCGGAAAAGGAAGCGTTATGAGTGCTGCGCATAGGTCCCCGATTCGGATGCTCCCTGAGAACGCGACAGAGCGTTCCAGCCACCCACCGACATTTGCATGTTAAGAAAGCCGCAGCGAGGGACACGAGGACAGAGACCTCCATCCGGTGTCCTTCGCTTCCGGTTGCCCGCCCCTTTTTACCTGTTCCTTCTGCCGTTCACACCTTGTCAGTGATTATAGCCAGCAGTCGGCGCGAACCCTTTGTGAGAATCAATAGAACGTGTAGTAAGCAACGCCGTACATTCCTGAGGGAAATGCAATCTCCAGCCGTCAGAAATGCGGCCATGCCTTTCGCTCCGGCCCCAAGATCTTCGTTGAATCGAGCACGTGCTCATAGTAAATCATATATTCTGACAGCTTGAACGGACAGTTCCTGGGAGCCTGCCACCGTTGTTAAATTGTCTCGCGAGGAATTCGGCGCTCAGCCCGCTTGCCGCTCGTGGTGACGCGCAAACTCGGTTCCACTGCGCGTTGCCGCGAGCGACAGACTGCTGAGGGTCCCGAAGCGCGCGCCGCACGCGTGCGCGCTGGCCACGCACACTGATCACGAAATGAAGAGCTCTCGGAGGCGCCGCTCCATCATGTCGGCCAGTCCGTTCCGCCGTCCGTCGTCGCACGGGCGTCCGTGTCTCCGTGTCGCTATTGGGACTTCCCGTCCCGCCTTCTCGTGGAGGGGTTCGGCGGCACGCGTGCACGAGATGCGCACTCCTTACTGAAGGGTTAATGTTCGATTTTGTGATAACCCTGCTCAATAAAAACGCTTCCACTAAAGAGCTTCTGGCATGTGCCATCTTGAGAGTGTGTGCCTGTGGTGCGTGCTTCGCTCGCCGTTCCGAGGCACCAAACACGCGCGTGTAGGGGGGCAAAGCTGCACACTGGGCTGTACAATGGTGCTGTGTATATAGTATATACTCCGTTTCATACTCAAAGGGATTGTCCGGTGATATTCGGAAGTTACTAAGCTTTTGCGCTGGTCACGCAGAGATGGCCTAAATATAGTCCGATCTGAGAATTATTTCATTAAAAGACGCCCCAATTTTTTTTTTAAATCAGTTATGAGTATTAATGCGAAACTTGACGCCAAATTTCGCAAGTATCCATGGCTGGTCGTGTCGTGATGTCCCATCAGGCATGGTAACTTCAGAGTCGCGGGCGTTGACTTATTCCCGACTTTGATCAACATGGTTGACGGTACGTACAAAGATAATCGTCGAAGAACTGAGCTTCCTTCAATACCGTAAATCTTGTCTTTCTCAGAACGAGGTTGTTTTACTGAGACAGCATTCAAAAGCTGTCGTGCTCGTTTTGCACGATGTTACGTCAGAGCTTCCGCTGTTTGCAACGAAAACGCCGTGTGTTTTGCGCGTGCAATCTGGGCAGTTGGGCTCTGTTTAAATTTGAATCACTTCAGTGACAGAGGATTAAAAATTTGGATATTGTGCGGATTATATTCCTAAAAGCAATGCCAATATAATTTAATTGTTTCCTGAAAGAAAAAAAAAAAACTTTAACGGTGAGAAGTTCGGGTATCGCCGCCTGGTGGAATTTTTGCACGACCCAGAGTGAGGATACTTCAACTTCCTCTTCTGGTGCAAGCACGTGCAATATCAAGCTTCTATGCACTATGAAAATTAAAACGTAATTGCGTCGGTAGCACGTGCACCACTCATATTGAGGCAGAGCCGTTTATTGAGAGAGTTTGGCCATACATTGGTTTGAATAGGCGAGCATCTCGGGGCCAACCACAGGCCGCGAAACAGCCCCTAGCGGTGGTCCTGTGCTCTAAAGATGTGACCCGACTAATTTGATCCGTTTTAGCGTCGCTGGAGTGAAAATGTTTAGCTCTCGGTGACTGAAAGCTTTGTGCGTGTGAGGTTTTCCTTACGCCAATATTCAAGTGTAGAATAAACGAACGTGCGCTCCAAACCAGGGCCGACTTGCTAGAAACAGCCTCTCAGCTGAGACGGGGAAAGAAAGCACTGCCAAAGCCAGCGCACGAGCCGAGCGGGACTCCGCGTCTCCAGACGCTTGCGCGCCCCACCCTTTGCACTGTTTTCTTTTAGCCAGTCTCAGGACGCTGTTCTAACAAGCCAACATTAGCAGTGCAGACAAAGGCATGGGCACGAGTGCGTGACTTTGGAAAGTGCCTCCTATGCACGAGTTCTCGTACAAACAAAAGCGTTTTGCCGAGCTATGCTCACGCGCCTGTGCCTTTGTCTTCACTGCAGACATTTGTGAGCTGGAGCAGAGAGGCCGAGATTGAACGCTTCTATTTCACGCTTTGAATGTCGTTTCCAATATTGTGACGTCGCGGCCTCCTGATTGGTCGACGCTGTGTCACAAATTTAGTTTACGCTCTAAGCGCGGGGGGAATATTCGGCGCTGGTTGTCAAAGCAGTTGGTGCGAGCATGAGGCTTGATCTCGTTGACTGATGGCACGCGTTCTCGCACAAACGAAACCATAGATAAAGCCACGCGCTCGCGCCAGTAGCTTTGACAGCGTCGTATATGAAAGGAATTATCCGGTAAAAATTTGTCTTTCACAAAACAATTAAATTATATTGTGATTGCTTTTTTTTAGTAATATCATCCGCATGATATTCAAATTTGTAATCTTCCGCCGAACACGTAATTCAATTTAAAACAGAGCCCAACTCCTCAGATTGCACCTGGAAAACACACAGCGTTTTCATTAGCAACAGCGGAAGCTCTGACGTAACATTATGCAAAGAGAGCCACGACAGCTCTTGACTGCTGTCTCAGTAAAATACCTTCAAGAGAAGATTTACGGTATTGAGGTAAGCAAAATTTTCCTACAATCATCTTTTTGTGCACCATCAACCACGTTGAACAAAACCGGGAATAAGTCAACGCCCGCGTGAAATCACGACACGATCAGCCATGCACACTTGCGAAATTCGGCGTCAAGTTTCGTATCGATGTCCATAATTGATTTAACGAAAATTGAGGCGTCCTTTAATTATATAGATATCCCATCTGACTAATTTAGGCCTTCTCTACGGGACCAGCGCAAAAACTTTGTAACTTTCAGATACCACCGCACGAGTCCTTTAAGTATAAAAGGGAGTATAGACCTTTCCAAAAAAGGACTCCTGGCCGGTTCCATTTTTAGCGTTCGTGCGTATGGCGCGTGATTTGCTCGCTTTTCGAAGCGACGACCATGCGCGTGCTGGGCTGAGGAAATCGCACGCTGGGCTGAGAATTTGTAAATACTGGAATCCTTTTTTTTTTTTTTCTCCAAAAGAGAAGTTTTTTTTTTTAATGTCCCCCCCCCCCCCCCCCCCCCAAAAAAAAAAGGGTTATTTTATGGAGAGGTCTATAGGGGGGGGGGGGGGGGGGGGGGACCCCGCAGAACGCGCCAGACGAACCTTTTAATAAAGAAAACCCGTGCTTCCTGTTGGTCGCAAATTACGCGCGATCGTTGGGACTCGCGGAAAGGAGAGCAAATCGACGAGGCACCGTTGGATATGGCGTTTTGGAGTCAAAAAGTGGGCGCTGTGTCTCGGTGTGACTTTTCCGTGCTCAAGAATACTCGAGGCTGTCTCGGCATTAGCTAATCGCGCCTTCGCTACAGAAAACCAATTCACTCTCCCCTTACTCTGTGAGACAGACCGCGCTTGCCTTCATGGCCGTTTTCACTCTGAATCTTTGGCTGATGTTTCATTTTATTATGCAGTGTGTAAGATTTGAATTCGAACATATTCCATTTTGAAAAGCCGCGAAAGGAACACTACTGCGCAGTTTGTGCAGGGGAGCTCTACGACCAGGAAAACATTATATAGGGGGCTAATCCTCGTGATAAGTCGGATAATGAAGTACAATTTGTGAATGAACTTTTTTTAATTAGGGAAAATAAACGTATGGTTCCAATTAATTACTTGCTGAACGTCATTTAAACCACTAATCTAGTCCATTTGTGAAGGATTTTAAGTACGTGAGAAGCGCGGAAGGGAGTGCGCTAAAGTCGCCACTCGTGCAACAGGTGCAACGCTGGCGCTGCGGAAACGCGCTTGAAAAGATTATCATCCGCCTTTGGAGACCGCCAGCGCTGCGCCGTTTGTAGGAGGGGAAACATTAGCGGACCCCCCCCCCCCCCTTCCCCCCCCCCCCCCCCCCCCCCGCTTTTTATACGCGTGTTTCGAAGTTTTCTAAAATTGACTGATTCAGTGGTTTTCGATGATGCTCAAGCAATCTAGAATTGGAATCATACGTTTATTTTCACAAATTAAAAGTCAATTCAGAAATTTTAGTTAATTATTAGGGTTGTGCGAATATTCGAAATTTCGAAGAATAGTTTCAAATTATACCCTATTCGATATTCGCTTCGAGAAGAACTACACTATTCGCGTTTTTCCAAGTGTTGATTATGGCGGGTTAGCCCCGTTGAGTGCGCTTCTTACCGAGCACTGGTGCACTGCGGAGAAGCAATACCCG